GGGCCACCACTGTCACCTCCTCATTGTCATCCCCCAATGTCACCTCCGGGGTCACCTCGCGGGGCCACCACCCACTGTCACCTCCCAGTGTCACATCCGGAGTCACCTCGTGGGGCCACCACTGTCACCTCCCAGTGTCACCTCGTGGGGCCACCACCCACTGTCACCTCCTCATTGTCACCTCCGGGGTCACCTCTGGGGTCACCTCGTGGTGCCACCACCCACTGTCACCTCCCAGTGTCACCCCCCACTGTCACCTTCCCATTGCCACCTCCCCATTGTCACCTCTGGGGTCACATCTTGGTGCCACCACCCACTGTCACCTCCCCAATGTCACCTCCCACTGTCACCTCCCAGGGTCACCCCTCTTCTGTCACCTCCTGCTGCCACCTCCCATTGCCACCTCCGGGGTCACCTCCCCATTGTCACCTCCCAGTGTCACCCCCATGGCCAGGGGTGTCCCCAAGGTCAGGGTGTCCCCAGGGTGGCAGCACAATGTCACCAACACGTTGGGGACGTCCCCAGAGCAGCGCTGGTGTCCCCAGGGGGGTGGGCAGTGTCCCCTGGGCAGGGTGACAATGCCAATGTCCCCAGGATGGTGGGGACAGGCGACAGGGGTGGCTCTCGGTGCCCTTGCTGGCCAGGCGGCTCAGGATGGCAGGGGCAGGGTGACAGTGTGACAGGGTGGCAGGGTGACTGGCAGGGTGGCAGTGTGACAGGGTGGCAGTGACTCACGGGAGGAGGGTGGCTCTCGGTGCCCTTGCTGGCCAGGCAGCTCAGGATGGCAGGGGCAGGGTGGCAGGGGCAGGGTGGCAGTGCCGGTATCCCCAGGGCAGGGTGGCAAGGTGACAGGGTTTCAGGGTGACACGGTGACAGGGTGGCAGTGTCCCTAGGGTGTCACTCACGGGAGGAGGGTGGCACCACCCACTGTCACCTCCCAGTGTCACCCCCCACTGTCACCTTCCCATTGCCACCTCCCCATTGTCACCTCTGGGGTCACATCTTGGTGCCACCACCCACTGTCACCTCCCCAATGTCACCTCCCACTGTCACCTCCCAGGGTCACCCCTCTTCTGTCACCTCCTGCTGCCACCTCCCATTGCCACCTCCGGGGTCACCTCCCCATTGTCACCTCCCAGTGTCACCCCCATGGCCAGGGGTGTCCCCAAGGTCAGGGTGTCCCCAGGGTGGCAGCACAATGTCACCAACACGTTGGGGACGTCCCCAGAGCAGGGCTGGTGTCCCCAGGGGGGTGGGCAGTGTCCCCTGGGCAGGGTGACAATGCCAATGTCCCCAGGATGGTGGGGACAGGCGACAGGGGTGGCTCTCGGTGCCCTTGCTGGCCAGGCGGCTCAGGATGGCAGGGGCAGGGTGACAGTGTGACAGGGTGGCAGGGTGACTGGCAGGGTGGCAGTGTGACAGGGTGGCAGTGTGACAGGGTGGCAGTGACTCACGGGAGGAGGGTGGCTCTCGGTGCCCTTGCTGGCCAGGCAGCTCAGGATGGCAGGGGCAGGGTGGCAGGGGCAGGGTGGCAGTGCCGGTATCCCCAGGGCAGGGTGGCAAGGTGACAGGGTTTCAGGGTGACACGGTGACAGGGTGGCAGTGTCCCTAGGGTGTCACTCACGGGAGGAGGGTGGCTCTCGGTGCCCTTGCTGGCCAGGCGGCTCAGGATGGCAGGGGCGGGGTGACAATGTTGGTATCCCCAGGGCAGAGTGGCAGGGTTTCAGGGGGACAGGGGGGCAGTGTGACAGGGGGACACGGTGACAGGGTGACAATGACAGGGTGACAGTGTCACTCACAGGAGGAGGGTGGCTCTCGGTGCCCTTGCTGGCCAGGCGGCTCAGGATGCTGCGCTGGCAGGGGTGGGGTGGCAGGGCAGGGTGGCACAGTGACACAGTGGCAGTGTGACAGTGTGACTGGCAGTGTGACAGGGTGTCAGGGTGACAATGACAGGGTGACAATGACAGTGACTCACGGGAGCTACACCGGGGTGCTCTGGCCATGCAAACATCGGCGCTACTCCAGCTTTACTCCAGCCTTACTCCAGCCTTACTCCCAGCATGCACCGCGGGGATACTCCAGGGATACTCCAGGGATACTCGGGGGATACTCCACCAAAACACCCCCGAGGGAGGAGGGAGGGGGGATCAAGGTGTAAACTACTCCAGGGTTACACACAGGACGGCAGCGGGACCTACTCCAGCTTTACACCGCAGCTACTCCGCAGAGCCTCAGCGCCAAGCATGGCCCCGCCTCGCGCCTCCCGCCCTGCACCGACGCTACTCCGAGCTTACTCCGAGCTTATGGGGAAAACCAACAGCTGGGAAGTCCAGGTGGTTTTGGGGTCAGGTGTGGGGAGACCCAGGGATGGAGAGTTCAGGGGTGAGGAGACCCAACAGCTGGAGGGTTCAGCCCTCGCATCACCCCGGTGCCACCCTCACTGTCACCCCAGTGCCACCCTCGCTGTCACCCGCGTGCCACCCTTGTGCTAACCCTCACTGCCACCCCAGTGCCACCCCAGTGCCACCCTCACTGCCACCCCAGTGCCACCCTCACTGTCACCCCAGTGCAACCCTCGCTGTCACCCCCATGCCACCCTTGTGCCACCCTCGCTGTCACCCCTGTGCCACCCCAGTGCCACCATGGCTGCCACCCCCATGCCACCCCGGTGCCACCCTCACTGCCACCCCAGTGCCACCCTCGCTGTCACCCACATGCCACCCTTGTGCTAACCTGTGCTAACCCTCACTGCCACCCCCATGCCACCCTTGTGCTAACCCTCACTGTCACCCCAGTGCCACCCCAGTGCCACCCTCACTGTCACCCTGTCACCCCCATGCCACCTTCGCTGCCACCCCAGTGCCACCCTCGCTGCCACCCCCATGCCACCCTTGTGCCACCCCCATGCCACCCCTTGTGCCACCCTCACTGCCACCCTGGTGCCACCCTTGCTGTCACCCCAGTGCCACCCAGTGCCACCCCATGCCAGGCGGCGCCGCGGGGCTGACCTTGAAGCGGCGCTGTCCCTGGGCTGTCCCCCGTGTCCCAGTGTCCCCTGCCTGTCCCCGTGTCCCTGCTGTCCCCTGCCTGTCCCCAGTGTCCCCTGGCTGTCCTGTATCCCCTGGCTGTCCCCAATGTCCCCTGCCTGTCCCCGATGTCCCCTGGCTGTTCCCATGTCCCCTGCCTGTCCCCTGCCTGTCCCCGGTGTCCCCAATGTCCCCGGTGTCCCCAGTGTCCCCTGCCTGTCCCCGGTGTCCCCTGCCTGTCCCCATGTCCCCCCGTGTCCCCGCGCTCACCGGTGAAGCCGCCGTCGGCGATGTTGAACATGAACCGCGGTTTCTCGGCTCTCTCCTCGCGGCGCCCGTTCGGCCGCGGCTCCGCCCGGGGCTCCCGCTCGGCCTTGGCCTCCTCTGGGGGGACACGGCGGGGTCAGGGGGTTTGGGGGGGATTTAGGGGACATTTGTGGGGTCAGACACTCTGTGTTAGGCCACACCCCTTTCTGGTGAGCTGTGCCCAGTCTGGGTTAGGACACACCCTTTAAACCCCGCCCATTTTCATCAGACCACGCCCCCCGTGCCCAAGCCCGTTTCTGGGATTTGGGGTTTTGGGTTTTTTTAGGGATTTGGGGTTTGGGGTTTTGGCGTTTCGGGGATTCGGGGGTTTGGGGCTCCCCGGGCTCTCACCTGGCCGCTCCTCGCGGGCCGGGGTCCCCTCGGCCTCGGGGTCCCTGTGGCCGGGCCCCTCCTCCTCGTCCCCCTTGCGGGGCCCCTCGGCCTCGCTGCCCTCGCCCGGCGACGGTGGCACCTCGGGGACAGGGGGCTGGGGACACCGGGGCTGTCACCCGCCCTGTCCCCACGGGGACACCGCCCCTCGGGGGTGACAGCCAGGGGACACGGGACAGTGAGGGGACACAGGGACAGCGAGGGGACACGGGGACAGCCAGGGGACACGGGGACAGCGGGGACAGCGAGGGGACACGGGACAGCCAGGGGACACAGGGACAGCGAGGGGACACGGGGACAGCGGGGACAGCCAGGGGATACGGGGACAGCGAGGGGACACGGGGACAGCGAAGGGACAGCCAGGGGACACGGGGACAGCGGGGACAGCCAGGGGATACGGGGACAGTGAGGGGACACGGGGACAGCGTGGGGACACGGGGACAGCCAGCACGGGACACGGGACAGCGAGGGGACACGGGGACAGCCAGGGGACACGGGGACAGTGAGGGGACACGGGGACAGCCAGGGGACACGCCGACAGCCAGGGGACACGGGGACAGCCAGGGGAGGGGACAGGGACAGAGATGGGGACAGGGACAGGAAGGTGGGAACAGGGATGGGGATGGGGACAAGGACAGGAGGGTGGGGACAGGGACAGGGTGGGGACAGGGACAGGAGGGTGGGGACAGCATTGGGGACAGGGACAGGGTTGGGGACAGGGACAGGGACAGGGTGGGGACAGGGACAGGGCTGGGGACAGCTGTGTCACTCACATCTGTCTCCATCTTCTCGGGGCCTTTGGGTTCCTTCTCGTCCCTGGTGTCACCCTCGTCCCTGTCCGGGGGTGGCCCTGGCCCGTCCCCGCGCTCGCTGGGCGCCGGCGTGGCTGGGGACAGGGGACATCAGGACATCGTCCCCATCCTGTCCCCAGCCGTGTCCCCGTGTGTCCAGCCATGTCCCCAGCTGTGTCCCCGTGTCCCCAGCCATGTCCCTGTGTGTCCAGCCATGTCCCATGTCCCGTGCCATGTCCCCAGCCATGTCCCCAGCCGTGTCCCCATGTCCCCAGCCGTGTCCCTGTGTGTCCAGCCATGTCTCCATGCCCCCAGTCATGTCCCCATCCCTGTCCCCATGTCCCCAGCCCAGCCGTGTCCCCAAGTCCCCATCCCTGTCCCCAGCAGTGTCCTGTGTCCCCCCCGTGTCCCCCCGTGCGGTACCGGGCGTGGGGGGCGCGGGGCTGGGGGGGCCGCTCTGCTCGGGGCTGGGGGGGCCGGTCTTGGCGGGGGAGGAGGCGCGGGACGAGCGCTTGGAGTCGGCGCTGGGCTCGGGGGCCAGCTCGGGCAGGGACCAGCGCCCGTTGATGTGCTCGAACTCCTGCACCTGGGGGGGCATCATGAGGGGGTCAGGGGACCCCAAAAACCCCAAAAACCCCGAAAATTCACCCCAAAACCCCCGAAAATCCACCCCAAAACCCCCAAAAACTGATCCCCAAAACCCTAAAACCTGCCCAAAGGACCCTAAAACATCCCCAGGGCCAGCTCGGGCAGGGACCAGCGCCCGTTGATGCGCTCGAACTCCTGCGCCTGGTGGGGCACGATGGGGGGTCAAAAACCCCAAAAACCCCGAAAATCCACCCCAAAACCCCCCCAAGGGGCCCCAAACCATCCCCAGGGCCAGCTCGGGCAGGGACCAGCGCCCGTTGATGCGCTCGAACTCCTGCACCTGGTGGGGCATGATGGGGGGTCAAAAACCCCAAAAACCCACCCCAAAAACCCCGAAAATCCACCCCAAAACCCCCCCCAAGGGACCCTAAAACATCCCCAGGGCCAGCTCGGGCAGGGACCAGCGCCCGTTGATGCGCTCGAACTCCTGCGCCTGGTGGGGCACGATGGGGGGTCAAAAACCCCAAAAACCCACCCCAAAAACCCCGAAAATCCACCCCAAAAACCCCGAAAATCCACCCCAAAAACCCCGAAAATCCACCCCAAAACCCCCCCCAAGGGACCCTAAAACATCCCCAGGGCCAGCTCGGGCAGGGACCACCTGGGGGGCACAATGGGGTCAGGGGACGCCAAAAACCCTAAAAACCAACCTCAAAACCCCCAAAAACCCACAAACCCTGCCCCAGGGCTGTCCCCAGGCTGTCCCCAGGGCTGTCCCCAGGTGAGTCCCCAGGTGTCCTGGGGATGTCCCCAGGGGTCCCCAGGTGTTCAACCTGTCCCCAGCCTGTCCCAGGTGTCCCCAGGGATGTCCCCAGGTGTTCAAGGCTGTCCCCAGGTGTTCAGCCTGTCCCTGGGCTGTCCCCAGGCCATCCCCAGCCTGTCCCCAGGTGACCCCAGGTGTTCAGCCTGTCCCCAAGCTGTCCCCAGGTGTCCTGGGGATGTCCCCAGGTGTCCCCAGGGTCCCCAGGTGTCCCCGGGCTGTCCCCAGCCTGTCCCCAGGTGTTCAGCCTGTCCCCCCAGGTGTCCCCAGGTGTCCTGGGGATGTCCCCAGGTGTTTCGCCTGTCCCCAGGTGTCCTGGGAATGTCCCTGGGCTGTCCCCAGGCTGTCCCCAGGTGTTCAGCCTGTCCCCCCAGGTGTCCCCAGGCTGTCCTGGGGATGTCCCCGGGCTGTCCCCAGGTGTTCAGCCTGTCCCCCCAGGTGTCCCCAGGTGTCCTGGGGATGTCTCCAGGCTGTCCCCAGGCTGTCCCCAGGTGCTCAGCCTGTCCCCCCAGGTGTCCCCAGGGTCCCCAGGTGTCCCTGGGCTGTCCCCAGGTGTCCTGGGGATGACCCCAGGCTGTCCCCAGGCCGTTCCCAGCTTGTCCCCAGTGTCCCCGGTGTGCCCAGGTGTCCCCGGGCTGTCCCCGGGCTGTCCCCAGCCTGTCCCCAGGTGTTCAGCCTGTCCCCCCAGGTGTCCCCAGGGTCCCCAGGTGTCCCCGGGCTGTCCCCAGCCTGTCCCCAGGTGTTCAGCCTGTCCCCCCAGGTGTCCCTAGGGTCCCCAGGTGTCCCTGGGCTGTCCCCAGGCTGTCCTGGGGATGTCCCCGGGCTGTCCCCAGGCGTTCAGCCTGTCCCCGGGCTGTCCCCAGGTGTTCAGGGATGTCCCCAGCTGTCCTAGGGATGTCCCCAAGTGTCCCCAGGCTGTCCCAGGTGTCCCCAGGCGTTCAGCCTGTCCCCGGGCTGTCCCCAGGTGTTCAGGGATGTCCCCAGCTGTCCTGGGGATGTCCCCAAGTGTCCCCAGGCAGTCCCCGGTGTCCCCGGCGTGCCCAGGTACCTTTTTCTTGACGAGGGACATGACGCCGATGCGGGTGAGCACCTGCTGCCGGGACAGCCCCTCGCGGGGGACGCCGTCCGCGAACGTCTCGGAGCCGTCGGCGCCCGGCTCGCACAGGTGGCGCATGAACAGGGACACGTAGGCCCTGGGGACAGCGCTCAGGGCCACCGCCGTGCCACCAGCGCCCTGCCACCGCCCTCGTGCCACCGCCCATGCCACCGCCCCTGTGTCACTGACACCACCAGTGCCACTGACACTGTCCCCGTGCCACTGACACCCAGCCTGTGCCACCACCCTTGTGTCACCAACACTGCCTGTGCCACCACCCCTGTGCCACCGACACTGTACCACTGCCCCTGTGCCACCATCCCTGCCACCGTCCCTGTGCCACTGACACCACCCATGCCACCACCCTGCCCGTGCCACCGCCCCTGTGTCACCACCCCCGTGCCACCGCCCCCGTGCCACTGACACCGCCTGTGCCACTGTCCCTGTGCCACCATCCCTGCCACCGTCCCTGTGCCACTGACACTGTCCCCGTGCCACTGACACCGCCTGTGCCACTGTCCCTGTGTCACCACCCTGCCCGTGCTACCGCCCCAGTGCCACTGACACTGCCTGTGCCACCACCCCTGTGCCACTGCCCTCGTGCCACTGACACTGCCCGCGCCACCACCCCCATGCCACTGACACTGCCCATGCCACCGCCCCTGTGTCACCAACACTGCCTGTGCCACTGCCCCTGTGCCACCGCCCCTGTGCCACCGCCCCTGTGCCACCAGCCCTGTGCCACCAGCCCTGTGCCACTGACACTGCCCGTGCCACTGTCCCCTGCACCTGCACGCCCTGCCCAGGGTCACTGTCCCCACAGATCCTGTCCCCAAGGTCTTTGTCCCCAAGGTCCCTGTCGCCAAAGGCCCTCATCCTCATGGTCCCTTGTCCCCAGTGTCCCCAATGTCCCTGATGTCCCTGATGTCCCTGATGTCCCCGCTGTCCTCAATGTTCCCTGTGTCCCCAATGTCCCTGATGTCCCCAATGTCCCTCAATGTCCCCAGTCTCCCCAATGTCCTTGATGTCCCCGATGTCCCAGTGTCCCCAATGTCCCTGGTGTCCCCAATGTCCCCAATGTCCCCAGTGTCCCTCTGTCCCCAATATCCCTGGTGTCCCCAGTGTCCCCAGTGTCACTGGGGACATTGGGGACATCGGGGACACAGGGGACATCCGGAACATCAGGGACACTGGGGACACTGCGGACACTGGGGACACTGGCTGTCCGGAGACCCCCGTGCCTTGTCCCCAGACAGGGGGACAGTGGCCCCAGGTGACCCCAGACCCTCTGATTTGGGGACCCAGGTGCTGAGGGGTCACTCAGGTGTTCGAGCACCCCCTGACCCCACCTGGAGGTGACCCAGGTGGCCCCGGGGATGTCCCCAAACCCCCTGGGAGTGTCCCCAAGCCCTGAGGTGTCCCCCCAAGCCCCCCCAGGTGTCCCCAAGCCCAGGCTGTCCCCAAACCCCTGGAGTGTCCCCAAGCCCAGGGCTGTCCCCAAGCCCCCCGGGAGTGTCCCCAAGCCCCCCAGGTGTGTCCCCAAGCCCCGGGCTGTCCCCGTGTCCCCTCACCTCGATGTTGCCGCCCACCCGGGCCAGCAGTGGGGGGAGGGGTTTGTCCTTCTCGTTCCGCAGCTGCCGCTTGGACTGGCGCCGGCCTGGGGGAGGGGAGGGGTCAGCACCCCCCTTGGGGACACCCTGACCCCCCGGGGACACCCTGACCCCCCTGGGGACACACTGGGGATACTCTGACCCCCACCAGGGACACCCTGACCCACCTTGGGGACATCCTGACCCCCCTGGGGACACCCTGACCCCCTTTGGGGACACTCTGACTCCCTGGGGACACACTGACCCACCTTGGGGACATCCTAACCCCCCTGGGGACACCCTGACCCCCACCAGGGACACCCTGACCCACCCTGGGGACATCCTGACCCCCTCCAGGGACACCCTGACCCCCTTTGGGGACACTCTGACTCCCTGGGGACACACTGACCCACCCTGGGGACACTCTGGGGACACCCTGACCCCCACCAGGGACACCCTGACCCACCTTGGGGACATCCTAACCCCCCTGGGGACATCCTGACCTCCTCCAGGGACACCCTGACCCCCTTTGGGGACACTCTGACACCCCCTGGGGACACCCTGACTCCCTGGGGACACACTGACCCACCCTGGGGACACTCTGGGGACACCCTGACCCCCACCAGGGACACCCTGACCCACCTTGGGGACATCCTAACCCCCCTGGGGACATCCTGACCTCCTCCAGGGACACCCTGACCCCCTTTGGGGACACTCTGACACCCCCTGGGGACACCCTGACTCCCTGGGGACACACTGACCCACCCTGGGGACACTCTGGGGGAACACCGACAGTGACGGCGCTCGGCTGAGTAAGGGCTCATCACGTGGCACGGGGACATTGGGGACACCGGGGACATCGGGGGACAGTGGAGGGCACAGGGACACACAGAGAGATGAGGGGACACGGGGACAATAAGGACATGGTGACAAATGGAGATGGGGATGAAAGGACACAGAGGACATGGGGACACACGAGGACAAAGGACATGGGGACACATGAGGACACCTCACTACCCTGCCACCGCCTGTCCCTGATGCCACCGCCTGTCCCCAATGCCACCACCTGTCCCTGATGCCACTCCTTGTCCCCAGCACTGCTCGTCACTGATGCCACCACCTGTCCTTGACACCACCTGTCCCCGATGCCACCGCTTGCTTCTGATGTCACCACCTGTCCTTGACACAACCTGTCCCCAATGCCGCTGCCTGTCCCCAGTGCCACCACCTGTCCCTGATGCTGCCACTTGTCCCTGATGCCACCGCCTGTCCCTGACACCACCGCTCCTCCCCAGTGCCAGCACCCCTCCCAGCTGTCCCCGGTGTCCCTGGTGTCCCTGGTGTCCCTGCTGTCCCTGGTGTCCCTGGTGTCCCCAGCTGTCCCTGGTGTCCCCGGTGTCCCTGGTGTCCCCGGTGTCTCCAGCTGACACTCGGGGTCACTCAGCGTCACCCGGGGTCACTTGGGGTCACCCAGTGGTCAGCACTGGGCACAGCATGCCCAGCACTGGTGTCCCTGTCCTTGGTGTCTCCATCATCATCATCATCATCATCATCATCATCATCATCATCATCATCATCATCATCATCATCATCATCATCTCTGTCTCCACTGTTGCCATCTCCATGATTTTCATCATCATCATCATCATCATCTCCACCGTCCCCATCATCTCCATCCTCTTCAGAGTCCCCAACCCCATCACCCCATTGGCCCCATCCCACTGTCCCCATCCCATTGTCCCCAATCCCATTGTCCCCATCCCACTGTCCCCATCTCATTGTCCCTGTCTCACTGTCCCCATCGCACTGTCCCCATCCCACTGTCCCCAATCCCATTGTCCCCATCCCAGTGTCCCCAATCCCACTGTCCCCAATCCCAGTGTCCCCAGTCCCACTGTCCCCAGTCCCACTGTCTCCATCCCACTGTCCCCAATCCCACTGTCCCCAATCCCATTGTCCCCATCCCACTGTCCCCTATCCCACTGTCCCCATCCCACTGTCCCCATCCCATTGGCCCCATCCCAGTGTCCCCAATCCCAGTGTCCCCAGTCCCACTGTCTCCATTCCCCTGTTCCCATGTCACTGTCCCCATCCCACTGTCCCCATCACTTCCCTCTCCAATATCTCCAACGTCTCCACATCCTCCACCCACCCAACATCTCTCCATCCCCTCCATGCACGTGTCCCCAGTGTCCCCCCAGTGTCCCCAGTGTCCCCTCATGTCCCCAGTGTCCCCTCATGTCCCCAGTGTCCCCTCATGTCCCCAGTGTCCCCTCATGTCCCCAGTGTCCCCTCATGTCCCCAGTGTCCCCTCATGTCCCCAGTGTCCCCTCATGTCCCCAGTGTCCCCTCATGTCCCCAGTGTCCCCTCATGTCCCCAGTGTCCCCTCATGTCCCCAGTGTCCCCCCAGTGTCCCCAGCACCCCTTGTCCTCCTCCCTGACGACGTACTGGGCCACCTTGAAGGAGCTCAGGTACCTGTTCATCCCCTCCAGGAATCATAATCCTGCCATGCCCGTGTCCCCAGTGTCCCCCCAGTGTCCCCAGTGTCCCCAGCACCCCTTGTCCTGCTCCCTGACAATGCACCAGGTCACTTGAAGGAGCTCCGGTACTCATCCATCCCCTCCACGTTCCCCAACCCTGCCATGCCCGTGTCCCCAGTGTCCCCCCAGTGTCCCCCCCGTGCCCCTCCATGTCCCCAGTGTCCCCAGCACACCTTGTCCTCCTCCCTGACGACGTACTGGGCCACCTTGAAGGAGCTCAGGTACTCGTTCATGTTCTGCACGTCGGCGTCGTCGGTGGCGTCCTGGTTGCGGTCCAGCAGCCGCGCGATGGCCTCGTTGTCGTAGTGGATGACGCTGCTGTCCTCCTCCTTGTTGTCCCCTGCGCGGCCACGCCGTGTCACACGCGTGCTGGGACACGGACAGGCGGGGCCACGCGCGCTGGGACACGGCCGGGCAGGGACATGCGTGATGGGACACGGACGGGCAGGGACACGTGTGCTGGGACACGGCCGGGCAGGGACACGTGTGCTGAGACACGGGCGGACGCGCTCCAAGGTGAGGTGACACGGCTTTGTCACACGCCAACATGGCTCCACATGGCCCAGTCCAGCCCAGCATGGCCCAGTCCAGCCCAACACAACCCAACGTGACCCAGTCCAGCCCAACATGACCCAACGTGACCCAGCATGGCCCAGTCCAACCCAGCACAGCCCAGTCCAACCCAACACAGACCAGTCCAACCCAACCCAGCCCAGCACAACCCAACGCGTCCCAGTTCAGCCCAACACAGACCAGTCCAGCCCAGCACAGCCCAGTCCAACCCAACCCAGCCCAGCACAACCCAACACGTCCCAGTCCAACCCAACACAGACCAGTCCAGCCCAGCACAGCCCAGTCCAACCCAACACAGACCAGTCCAACCCAACCCAGCCCAGCACAACCCAACGCGTCCCAGTTCAGCCCAACACAGACCAGTCCAGCCCAGCACAGCCCAGTCCAACCCAACCCAGCCCAGCACAACCCAACACGTCCCAGTCCAACCCAACACAGACCAGTCCAGCCCAGCACAGCCCAGTCCAACCCAACTTCTCTTCCCCATTCCCTGTTCCTCTAGCCATAGTAGAAAAAGAGCCCAGCTAGAGGACACTGCTGTGGCTTTTGGGAACAGTGGGAGACGCAAGGGACAGCAGCTGGGCAGGAGGGCACACCTGGGTGCCAACAGGATGTGGCACTGGGTTGCTGGGCTGGGAACTGGGGTCAAACCAGTGGGGTCAAACCTCCTGCCTGTTCTCCTGGGAAAACTGGCCCCTCAATGCAATGGGTGCCACTGGAGCTGCTGGGACTTTGGAAGGGGGCTGCAAGGGAGGAGTCTGTGCTGTTCATGCTCTCTCCCCAGCTGCTTTCACTTCAAATACTTTTCTTAAAGGAAATAAACCCTCTACAAGAACAGAAATTGGTTTGGAAAGTACAACCAGACTGGCTGGGAGTTTTGAGTTATAAAGAGGCACTCCTCCTCAGCAGCCAGTGTGGTGGCTCCCCTCCATTCTTCTAACAGATAAAAGAAAGCTGTGGAAAACTCACAAAGATCATTGTGCACCAGGAGCTCATTAACTGGAAGAAGTTAATTGTGAATGGTAGCACTGTGCAGACCCGGTGGGTCCCGGCCCTGGCCCTGGCCCTGCCACACCACTGCTCGCAGCATGGCCTGGCCTGGCGTGGCCTGGCCTGGCCTGGCCTGACCCGGCCTGGCCTCCCCTCACTGAGGCATGGAGGACGTTCATCAGTGCCTTTGCAGTTTGTCTGGTGAGGGGACAAAGCTCATGGTCATGGCAGCTGTGCTGCCCTGTGGCAGTGGCCTCCCCAGGGCCTCCTTGAGCACCAGCCTGAGCCTCCTCACCCACCCAGCCTTCCTCCTCACCCATCCATGCACGTGTCCCCAGTGTCCCCCCAGTGTCCCCAGTGTCCCCAGCACCCCTTGTCCTGCTCCCTGACAATGCACCAGGTCACTTGAAGGAGCTCCGGTACTCATCCATCCCCTCCACGTTCCCCAACCCTGCCATGCCCGTGTCCCCAGTGTCCCCCCAGTGTCCCCCCCGTGCCCCTCCATGTCCCCAGTGTCCCCAGCACACCTTGTCCTCCTCCCTGACGACGTACTGGGCCACCTTGAAGGAGCTCAGGTACTCGTTCATGTTCTGCACGTCGGCGTCGTCGGTGGCGTCCTGGTTGCGGTCCAGCAGCCGCGCGATGGCCTCGTTGTCGTAGTGGATGACGCTGCTGTCCTCCTCCTTGTTGTCCCCTGCGCGGCCACGCCGTGTCACACGCGTGCTGGGACACGGACAGGCGGGGCCACGCGCGCTGGGACACGGCCGGGCAGGGACATGCGTGATGGGACACGGACGGGCAGGGACACGTGTGATGGGACACGGCCGGGCAGGGACACGTGTGCTGAGACACGGGCGGACGCGCTCCAAGGTGAGGTGACACGGCTTTGTCACACACCAACATGGCTCCACATGGCCCAGTCCAGCCCAGCATGGCCCAGTCCAGCCCAACACAACCCAACGTGACCCAGTCCAGCCCAACATGACCCAACGTGACCCAGCATGGCCCAGTCCAACCCAACCCAGCCCAGCACAACCCAACACGTCCCAGTCCAACCCAACACAGACCAGTCCAACTCAACACAGACCAGTCCAACCCAACACAGACCAGTCCAACCCAACATGACCCAGTCCAGCCCAGCCCAGCTCAGCCCAGTCCAACCTAGCTCAGCCCAGTCCAGCCCACCACAGCCCAGTCCAGCCCAACACAGCCCTGTCAAACCCACCACAGCCCAGACCAACCCAACACGACCCAGTCCAACCCAACACAGACCAGTCCAACCCAGTCCAACTCAACACAGCCCAGTCCAACCCAGCTCAGCCCAGTCCAGCCCAGCTCAGCCCAGCACAACCTAACATGACCCAACATGACCCAGTCCAACCCAACATAGACCAGTCCAACCCAGCACAGCCCAATCAAGCCCAACACATCCCAGCCCAGCCCAACATGACCCAGTCCAACCCAACATAGACCAGTCCAACCCAGCACAGCCCAGTCCAACCCAGCTCAGCCCAGTCCAGCCCAACACGACCCAGTCCAACCCAACATAGACCAGTCCCTCAAGGACACGTCACATGGGATGGGGACATCGTGGGGACAGGTCAGATTGGATGGGGGACACACCTGGGATGTGTCACATGGGATGGGGGATACCCCAGGGACATGGGATGGGGACACCCTGGCCGATGTGGTGCGTGTGGCTGAAGGCCTGGCATGGAGGGGACACGTCAGGGACATCGTGGGGACAGGTCAGATGGGATGGGACATGTCACATGGGATGGGGACACACCAGGGACACCCCAGGGACATGAAGGGACACCCTGGCCGATGCGGTGCGCGCGGCTGAAGGCCTGGCAGGGAGGGGACATCGTGGGGACATCGTGGGGACAGATCAGATGGGATGGGACATGTCACATGGGATGGGGACACACCAGGGACATGAGGGGACACCCTGGCCGATGCGGTGCGCGCGGCTGAAGGCCTGGCACGGAGGGGACATCGTGGGGACAGGTCAGGGACTTGGCAATCAGGGGAGACAGGGAGCTAAGGAGGATGACAATGGCCAGGTGACACTGCACAGGTGACATGGCTGAGCAGGTGACAGTGCCCAGGTGCCTGGTGCCAGGGGATGGCACTGCACAGGTGACATTGCACAGGTGGCAGTGCCCAGGTGACAGTGCCAGGTGCCCAGTGCTGGGCATGGCACTGGCCAGGTGACAGTGGCCAGGTGACAGTGGCCAGGTGACACTGCACAGGTGACAGTGCCGAGGTGACAGTGCCAGCGGGTGGCACTGCACAGGTGACATTGCACAGGTGCCAGGGACATGGGATGGGGACACCCTGGCTGATGCGGTGCGCGTGGCTGAAGGCCTGGCACGGAGGGGACACGTCAGGGACATCGTGGGGACAGGTCAGGGACATGCCACATGGGATGGGGACACACCAGGGATGTGTCAGATGGCATGGAGGACACACCAGGGACATGAGGGGACACCCTGGCCGATGCGGTGTGCCCGGCTGAAGGCCTGGCACAGAGGGGACATCACGGGGACAGGTCAGGGACACGTCACATGGGATGGGGACACACCAGGGACACCCCAGGGACATGGGATGGGGACACCCTGGCCGATGCAGTGCGCGCGGCTGAAGGCCTGGCAGGGAGGGGACATCGTGGGGACATGAGGGGACACACCAGGGATGTGTCACATGGGATGGGGGACACCCCAGGGACATGAGGGGGACACCCTGGCCAATGCAGTGAGCCCGGCTGAAGGCCTGTGGGGATGGGGACATTGTGGGAACAGCGTGGGGACACCTCAGGGACTTGGCAATCAGGGAGCTAGGGAGGGTGACACGGGCCAGGTGACATGGCTGAGCAGGTGACAGTGCCCAGGTGACAGTGCCAGGTGACAGTGCCAGGTGCCCGGTGCCAGGGGATGGCCCTGCACAGGTGACACAGCACAGGTGACACTGCACAGGTGACAGTGCCAGGTGACAGTGCCAGGTGCCCACCTGGATGTCGTTGTGGGGGTTCCAGTCCGAGTCAAAGATGACCACGGTGTCGGCCGTCGCCAGGTTGATGCCGAGGCCCCCGGCCCGCGTCGACAGCAGGAAACAGAACTGCTGCGCCCCCGGCGCTGCCCCCCCGGCGTCAGTGACGGACCCAAAACACCCCAAAATCACCCCAAAAACACCCCAAAAACACCCCAAACCCACCCCACTGCTGCGCCCCCGGCGCTGCCCCCCCGGCGTCAGTGACGGACCCAAAACACCCCAAAATCACCCCAAAAACACCTGAATTCCCCAGGACCCCTGAACCGCCTGAACTCCCCCTGTCCCCATCCCCTGTCCCACCTGCTGTCCCCTGTCCCCATCCCTGTCCCCATCCCCTGTCCCCTGTCCCCTGTCTCCATCCCCTGTCCCCAGCCCCTGTCCCTGTCCCCTGTCCCCTCTCCCTGTCCCCTGTCCCTGTCCCCATCCCTGTCCCCATCCCTGTCCCTGTCCCTACCGTTGAAGTGGTCGATGGCCTCCTGCTGCAGCGCCCCAGTCTATCCCTGTCCCTTTCCCCATGCCGTGTCCCCTGTCCCCATCCCTGTCCCCATGCCCTGTCCCCGTCCCCTGTCCCTGTCCCTGTCCCTGTCCCCGTCCCTACCGTTGAAGCGGTCGATGGCCTCCTGCCGCAGCGCCCCGGTCCATCCCTCTCCCTGTCCCTGTCCCCATGCCCTGCCCCCTGTCCCCTGTCCCTGTCCCTGTCCCTGTCCCTGTCCCCGTCCCTACCGTTGAAGCGGTCGATGGCCTCCTGCCGCAGCGCCCCGGTCCATCCCTCTCCCTGTCCCCTGTCCCCATCCCTGTCCCCTGTCCCCTGTCCCTGTCCCCTGTCCCTGTCCCTGTCCCTGTCCCCGTCCCTACCGTTGAAGCGGGCGATGGCCTCCTGCCGCAGCGCCCCGGTGATGCCGCCGTCGATGCGCTCGTACTTGTAGCCCTCGTAGTCCAGGAAATCCTCCAGCAGGTCCAGCATCTTCGTCATCTGCGCGGACTGGTCAGACTGGGACGGACTGGGAGCCACTGGGAGGGACCGGGAGGGACTGGGAGGGACTGGGGGTGCTGGGACAGCCCATACTTGGTGGACTGGGGGGATTTGGATTGATTTTGGGGTCCCACCTGGGCTGTCCCCTGTCCCCATGCCCTGTCCCTGTCCCTGTCCCCGTCCCTGTCCCCGTCCCTACCGTTGAAGCGGTCGATGGCCTCCTGCCGCAGCGCCCCGGTGATGCCGCCGTCGATGCGCTCGTACTTGTAGCCCTCGTAGTCCAGGAAATCCTCCAGCAGGTCCAGCATCTTCGTCATCTGCGCGGACTGGTCAGACTGGGACGGACTGGGAGCCACTGGGAGGGACTGGGAGGGACTGGGGGTGCTGGGACAGCCCATACTTGGTGGACTGGGGGGATTTGGATTGATTTTGGGGTCCCACCTGGGAGAAGATGAGCACCCTGTGGTTCTGGGGTTGGGTTTGGGGTATTTTGGGATATTTTGGGCTGGTTTTGGGGTGGTTTTGGGGTCCCACCTGGGAGAAGATGAGCACCCTGTGGTTCTGGGGCTGGGTTTGGGGTATTTTGGGATATTTTGGGGTGGTTTTAGGATGGTTTTGGGGTCCCACCTGGGAGAAGATGAGCACCCTGTGGTTCTGGGGCTGGTTTGGGGTATTTCAGGGATATTTTGGGGTGGTTTTAGGATGGTTTTGGATTGATTTTGGGGTCCCACCTGGGAGAAGATGAGCACCCTGTGGTTCTGGGGTTGGGTTTGGGGTATTTTGGGATATTTTGGGGTGGTTTTGGGGTGGTTTTGGGGTCCCACCTGGGAGAAGATGAGCACCCTGTGGTTCTGGGGCTGGTTTGGGGTATTTCAGAGATATTTTGGGGTGGTTTTAGGATGGTTTTGGGGTCCCACCTGGGAGAAGATGAGCACCCTGTGGTTCTGCTCCTTCAGCTTGCGCAGCATCTTCTGCAGCAGCAGCAGCTTCCCCGAGGCCTTGATCAGGGCCCCGCCCTCGTAGGCACCGCTCGGCAGCTTCGGGGACTCCTGGGGACGGGGACATGGCCGTGTCACCCACGGGGACATCACCCACGGGGACATCACCCATGGGGACACCGCCAGGTCACCATGGGGACACTGCCAGGTCACTCACAGGGACACATGTCCCCCCACGATCTCCACGTCCCCTGCTCCTCCACCCCGTGTCCCTCTGTCCCTCCCTGTCCCTGTCACTCCAACCCCTTCTTGTCCCCACATCCATGTCCCCAGGTGCCACCAGCCCACATCCCTGTGTCCCCTCTCTGTCCCTGTGTCCCCTCCATCGTCCCCGTGTCCTAGAGCCCTCCACCCTTGAATTCCCCCACACCCCCTCAGTGCCCCCTGCC